ACTGAAATTCAGGTGCAGATCTACAAAGTTTGGATCTATCCAGCTGTGCCTGGCTTGGGTCTGGCTGCTGTGCTCAGCTCCTTCCTGCTGCTGCCCTTGGGGGTGAACCTGTTGTGCCCCTCTGGCAGGATGTTCTGCTCCTGGACTAGCTGGGTGGTTCTGTCCCCTACTCTCTCCGCAGGGATTGCAGCTGCAGGGTTTCACCTTAGGCCTGTATGCCAGGCCTGAGCTGAGTCTGGAGGGGACAAGGTGAAGTAGGCGGGAGAGGCAGCTTTCCCCACACTCCCCGGGCCTGGGCTAGGACTGTATCTGGGGGCCCTAGAATGCAGCAGAAATTCTCATGCGACAGGTGGGGTGATGGGGGTGCCGCAGTGTTGGGGGGGGCAAAGGGGGTGGAAGAGGGTCTCACCCACGCTGCATCTGAGTTGGGACTGGCAGGTCCCTCTGGCGCAGGTTAGCTGGAAGCTCTCCCCTATCCTAACTATTTTGTATATACAGATACAAAATGGTTCTCCATTTATATCACCTTTTTTTGTTTGTTTTGTTTTGTTAGAGATGGGTATTCCATCGCCATTTAAATGTTGTAGGTACGTGAATTCAGCAAAAACATTCCAATATAGTCCAGTAGTCCATAATAATAATGGGTCATCTGTAGAACGGGCAGTGTCAGAAATTGTTGACTTGAGCCTTTTAACGCTCAACATATTAATATGGCTTTATGTTTTATACCTCATTTTTATACTTTTCTGCTGGCTGGTTAAGACCAAGATAAAGCAAGACCTATCTAACAAGAAATGTAACTTTTATATCTGCCAAGGTCAGTCAAATCCCCTCAGGATTTACCCTGAAACCCTGTACCACAGTTTGTAGGTCCTTTTTCAGTGTCAACCATGTGGATGAGTCACGGCCAATGCTTAACCAATTTGCTCTCTGTGAAAGCCAGAGAGAATCTTTTTCTCTCCATGTGACTCTCCTTAGGCACACTCTACTTCGCTGATCACTTTCCTCTAGTGTAAGAACTCAAAAAAGAAATAAAAATAGAAAGGTATAACACAATTAAAAGGAAAGCAAGAACTTAAGGATTAAACAATGAAGAGATGGCAAGGAGAAAAGGTAGGAAACATGATGGGGCAAAACCATACATTTATATGCACAAGATTGTTAAGGCAGTGATCCTGTGAATCTTCAGCAGGTTTTTGAAACTAACAGTTAATTGGTAGCATTCTCACCCTAATTATATAAGCTGATACCTGTGAACTAAGCAACTGCACTGAAGATAGCAGTGTGTAATACTAGGGCCATGCTTGGAATGCCTGTCATTCTGGTCTTCTAAATACGTACTGCTTGTCATGTCATATCAACTACTGCTATACTGTCTCTCAAGTAAATGTTTGTTTAAATAAAAAAGGATAATAAATGAAAACAAGAGACAAGAAAAAAATCTCATAGGACTGTCCTGCTACAATGCTGTATATGGTTAAATTTATAAATTTCTGTGAAAAATATGTAATTGTTCCTATTTTTATAATTTTTCTTTCTTTTTCTTCATTCTGTAGGGATCTAAAGTTTAACATATCAATACTTGATGGAAAATACCTGTTCATGTTATGTCCAAAGTTTGATATTCAGATAGATAGTGAGATTAAACTCAACTGCCTACGTTATAGGGCAATGTCATTAAGTGTCTCTTCTGGAGGGTTAACAACTTAAGTTTGCAGAGTGAAAATTAGAGAAAAAGCAGGGCTGCAAGGACAGCCAACATTTTGGTCCTATCCTTTCAATGTCAGTGAAGACTCAGGACATAAGAGAACCTGTACTGTAACATCCTGTAACTCAGTGATGTCCCAAATTTTCTGATCACACTCAGTTTTAGAGTACATTTTCCCCTCCACTCCCAGTGTTTGGACTTGGAAATGCTTATCAGTCTCAAAAACTACTTTAATATGTATTGATGGCCATGATGTGAGCAAATTCGTGTGAATCTCTGACTTTTATTAAATACCTATCCTTTTTCAGGCACAAAGGTGAACAAGGTTGTTCTTGGGAATTCATAGTTCAGTGAGAGAGAATACAGTCAAGTGGTTTGTTCAGCCATAGGCCTATAACCAAGTTACAGAAAACATGTATGAATGGAAGTGAGTAATTCTCTTGCAGAGTCAAAGACAGAATCTCAGCAAAAACCAGTGGTCTGCACCAGGCATGGTAACCCATGCCAATACTGGGAGGCTGAGGGTGGGGGATCAGAAGTTCAGGATCAGACAAGGCTCCTTAGTGAAACCTGGTCTCTAACCAAAAAGGGCCTAACATGTAGCTGGGCAGTAGAGCCCTTGCCCAGCATACACGAGCCCTATATGTGATCCCCAGTAAGATTCAAGGAAAGAAGCCCTGAAAATGCTTTCTAGGTTTAGGCTCATCATCTAAGCTGGTATTGTTGAATTATGAACCATGAGTGGGAACAGGAAGAAAAGCAGAAAGCTGTACCTGGGAAGTGTTGGCATTAGGGAAGAATTCTCCATAGAAGAAGCTAGCAGGCTCTTAAGTCTCCAAGCTCCCTGTCCACTCCAGCTGCGCAGCTCCAGCTGCAGCCTTGGCTCAGCAGCCGAACAAGGGTGTGCACTCCCAGCCATTTCAGGCCAGGAGGGGCCTCAACAATTCACATTGATCTCTCAGGTGTGCGAGAAAGACAGCTTGAGCATCAGACATATAGGCAAGGTGAAACCAGTGTGTGGGTGGCAGCAGGGTGATGTGAGAGTTACATGGCAGAACCCATCTGTTTTTGTTTTTTGTTTTTATATTTTAGGGAAGGGTTTACAGGGTGTTCAGGGTCTCACTACTAGATCGGACTCATAGTAATCCACCTGTTTACAGCCTCCCAAGAGCTGGGATTGCAGGTGCGCGCCACCACGCCCGGTCTAAATTGCCATCTTAGTGTGCCCCAGGGGCAGGGCCAGAATGGCGGGCAAGGGGATTGAACCCCTGGCCCCTGCACCTGCTTACAGGTGCTTTAATCCGCTGAGCTATGGTCTTTGGATAACAAACTGAAGGGTGTCTGGGAAGGCTTGGCAGGAGGCTAGGGGCTAAGGGAGCTTTGTGGTCACCCAGCTGGGCCACGGGTGAGACCATGGCGAAAGTGACTGTTGGTTCTTGCAGCAGATGGCAAGGACTTAAGCCGTGCCACAGCAGGGAAGACTGTTCAAGGAACATCAGGAATGCAGAATAGAGAGCTAGGCAAGGGGTCAGCTGAGTGAAGTCTAGAGGAAATGGAAAAGCAATCTTTGTGTCTTGTTTTTTGCATTATGATCAGAGAGAATTATTTGGGAAGTAGATTGTCACTCCTGCTAAGGCAGTGTAAATTCCTACATCTGCTGATGCTCTTGACCACTCTGGCTCTTCTTGGCCATAAATATTTGAGAGTTTCTGGGAAGACCAGAACTATCACTTCCTATAACGAAGACAGTGAGTTCCCAACCTGTGGACTCTACTCTGGGTGTTCCTGTATGTTTAGACACCAGTTGCTCCACTGTGTGTCCTTGGAGGTAGCTGTGTATTCACAAGTTGTGTTGTTTGTTTCCATGCCCTTAGGATTCATGTGGAGGGCAGCCCTGTGGATGGCCCCGAAGCAAGCCTGATGGAACAGGACAGAAGCAGCCATGTGGTGGGCAGCACACTCGGTCCTTTCCTGATTCCAGCGCCAACTCCTGCCTGCCAGCTCGAGCCCCTGGCAGCCAAGCTGCAGAACGGAAGCCCAGTCCCTGAGCGGCCTCACCCCGAGCTGAACGGGGATACCAGGTGGCAGGCCCTCAAGAGCTGGTCCGGGGTCCCCCCAAGCAGCCGTGCCAGTCCTGACTTCCTCCATGAGGGCCGAGGCTTTTCCAGCTGTCTAGAAAATGGGGGCATAAAGCGCACAGTCAGTGAACCATCTCTCTCTGGGCTCCATGAGAACAAGAAGCTGAGACAAGACCAAAAGGCCAACGGAGAAGGAAAGAACCTCGAGGAAAGCCAGGAAAGAGATCCTTCTAGCAGCCAACCTCGTGCCTCTGATGAGAGTGAGAACAAAGAATCCGTGAGCTCCAGAGCCCAAGAAAATACAGCTGAAGACCTCACCACTTTTCTAATGCCAGACTACAACAGGTTGGAAAACCAAGCGCATCCAGTTCTGAGTGAACAGGAGCAGAAAGATGACACATACCAAGACGAAAACATTGCATTACTTCTGAAGAACAAGGCAGTGCTCATGCCTAATGGTGCTACAGATTCTGCCTCTTCCCTGGAAAATGCATGCAGTGAATTCCTGGAAAAACCACCATCGCGGTGTGATCCAGGTTGTGTTTCCACTGCAGTGCACAAGACCACATCTCACAGCCATGCCATCGACGGCCAGGCTTCTCCCCAGCCGTCCTGTGAGGTCACTCCCCCGTCGCATACCTCAGGGCAGATCAAGGGCCCACAGCTCTCGGGCTCTGAGCTGCCCCCAGAGCCAGCTGCGGTGGGGACCGAGGCCTGCGACACAGGTCATGCCAGGCCACCAGCTGCAGTGCCCGGTACCTGTCCCCTCCAGAGGCTGGCACAACTGCGGCCACAAGAGCCGGCACTGGAGATGTGCCCATGTCCTGTGCAGACTGGTGACACACACATGAACGCGGTGCCGGCGTCTGTGAAGGGGCTGTGTGCAGGGCCGAGCAGCTTGCAGGCTGCTGGCAGCAGCTCCAAACAGTATTCACAGCAAAATGAAACGAATGGTGCTTACTTCAAGCAGAGCTCAGTGTTCCCTAAGGATTCTTTCTCTGCTACTACCACACCACGTCCGCCACAGTTGCTTCCTCCCCGTCCTCTGTCTCTTCCCTCTTGTCCCATAGGAAAGGCCGCTCTGCCAGATGCAGCTGCAGGAGATCACAAGCAGTCCTCCAACCAAAGCATTGTAACTCTCCTACGGGAAGTGAAAACAGAGGCCCAACCCGAGGCTCCACCACCCCAGAGTCCCAGTTCATCGCTGTATGCGTCCTGCCCCAGCCTGAGGCTTGCACAAGGACCTCAGAGTAATGGTGTCCATCAGAGCAGCACAGCCACACTGGGGCCTGTGCTCCTGTGTGCTGAGAAAGCACGGCCAGCCCCAGACCACCTAGACCATCTCAAACACAGCCATTCCATCCTTGCTCCTGGGAGAGAGGCGCAGGACCCCTGCCCACCACTGCTAGGACACAAAGAGACAGAGAGTCTGAAGAACCAAGACCAGCAACAGATTCAAGGTCTTGCACTCCCAACTCAGCCCTATGTGAAACCAGGATGGATCGAGTTGAAAGCCCCTCATTTTCGTCAAGCCGAATCTCATCCAAAAGGCAAGGAGCCCTCACTGTGCTCCATGCTTCAGCATCAGCCCACACCTGCTATGCAAACACCCTCCAGACCATACACTGGAAGCTCTGTGCCTGGGGGGCTCTCAAGGCTGGCTTATGCCCCCTCACAGGCCGTGCCAGTACAGCACAAGTCCCAGATGTTCCACGGAGACTTGAGTCATGGGCAGCAGCGAGGTATGGTGGACCAGCATCTCCATTTTCCCCAGCTTTCTAGCCAGAGCTGCACCTCCAAGACAGACGCCCTGCCTGCAGCCTGCACACAGGCACTGTGCACCCCTCAATATTTCCAGCAAGTTGCAGATCCCCGAGCTGAGAGACTACAATCCCCATTGTTAAAACAGCACTTGAATATACGGGCTTCAGAGCCGGAGCCATTTTTACACTCGCACCTTTTGCAGCACAAGCCCTCTAAGCAGGCAGCACAAACGCAACCACCCCAAACCCCACCATTTCCTCAAAACCAGCAGCAGCCACAGCAATTACAGATGAAGAATAAAGAACAAATGCCTCAGACTTGTCCTCATCCCCCAAGTAACAATGTTCAGCACGGAAAGGGATCATTCTTTGGCCGTGTTAAAGTGGAAGAACACCTCAGTGGGGAAAATCAGTGTTCAAAAGCAAATGAGTTCCAAACTCAGAACACCCAAGCAGGACTGGAGCAAGGACAAAATGTGAGTAGCAGAAATTCCCCATATGAGCAAGTCTTGAAATCAAGTCCAAGCAAAACCCAGATTTCCTGTTCCAACAGTACACACTTAGTGCCAGTGAATAAACAAACTATCGGTTCTGAATTCTTTGCAGTACATAAGACCCAACACTTGCATCCCATGCAATATTTTCTAAACAATGTGACTCCGGGTAAAGGTATTCTGCGCAGGTGCTTTCAAGAACAAGAGCAGAAGCAGCCTCACGCTCTAGCTCTCCAGGGACATATAAGCAGAAACCAAGACCTGTCCGCACGGCAGGCTGCACAGCTAGTGCAGCAGAGATACTTGATGCAGAGCCAAGCCAAGGCTTTTCCTGCACCTGAGCAGGCACAAAATCCCACACAGACCCCTCCCCAGAAGGACATTCACAAGCACGCAGCCCTAAGGTGGCACCTCTTGCACAGGCAAGAGCAGCAGCAAGCAAAGCAGGCCCAGGCGGAGTCTTGCCAGGGCCAGATGAACAAGCCAATTAAGCTAGAGCCTGGGTCCAAGCCCCCTGCCTGCATGCGCCCTGTGTCTCTGCAGCAAGACCCCAAAGTGTGGAAGAAGCCAACCAAGCAAGAGGCCCCTGCCACAAGTGGTGACCACGCACAGCCGAAGAGCATCCTTGACACCATGGAGCAGCAGCTGAAGCAGTTTCAGGTCAAATCCTTGTTTGACCATAAGGCTCTTGCCCTCAAGTCACAGAAACAAATAAAAGTTGAGACATCAGGGCCCCTCCCGGTGCTGTCGAGACAAGCCAGCTCTGCAGAACTCGATGGCCAGGCCCCAGCAGTCGAGCCACAAGCAACTCCTTCAGAAAAGACACCCACCAAAAGAACAGCTGGCTCTGTTCTCAATACTTTTTTAGAGTCAACTTCCAATTTGCTAGATGCCCCTATAAAGAATTTTTTGGATGCAACTATCAAAACTCAGTATGATTTCCCATCATGCCGGTGTGTAGGTAAGTCTAGAAATGGCCTGAGGCACATGGTGCTTCCCTGGAGTTAGAAGATGTATCCTCAGATATGGGATTTTTTCTTTTTTCCTTTTTCTTTCTTTCTTTTTTTTCCCCCCCCAATATTGAGTCTGGGAGCAATTTGTAAAGGCTCATAAAACTGCAGCTTATATTTTTGTCTTTTAAATTATAGGTACTTTTGCTGTAGGAGAGAAAAACCACACTTTGTGCAGCATTTTTCAGGAAAACTTAAACAATTGTGCCCATTTTTTCCCCTTCCATTTAGAAATGTACCTGTTTTACATTAACCCACCTATCTAATTCTGAAATCATTCTCCTGGGCAGACATACAGTCAGGGTAAAAGAGGAGAAATCTAACATTAAATAACTGCCACATGTGAATTAATGTAGGAGTCTATACTTTTTTTTTTAATTCAAGCTTAAATCTGTTGGTAGTTTTACCAGATTTTTAAGTAATGATGAAATTATTTCTTTGTCCGTGGTGAGTTGGGGAAATTCTTTTTTTAAACACTTAAAACATTGTGATTTATACTATCTTTCTTGATAAAAATGGGATTTTTTTTTTTTAAACAACAGCTTTTTGTTCAAATTGAGAGTATATGATGGGTCTGAGAATCAAGAAACATTTTTTGCTAGGTGATGTAGGTCCATGCGTGGGCGGACACCTGAGTGACAGGGTCCACTTGGCCAGGGAAGAAGACATTTGAAGGGACAGATGTGAACGGTGTGGGGCGATGATGTCCCTCTACGCCTTGTGGAGGGCTCCGCCTATGCATCTTCCTAGTAGTGGGTAGTTCCGGCCACCCTTGCGGCCCCTCGTCTGAGCCGGTCCCAGCCCTCCACCTCTGGTGCTCAGCCTAGTGCCTCTTCCTTTTACCCCGACTCTCATCAAACTGCTCTAACACACAGAGACTTGGGTCTGGATTGAATATTCTTATTTTCAAAGCAGAGTAAATTTTGTGGGAAAATGACCAGAAAAGGGCATCCATGGCAGTAAGCCTGGTAATATCTGGGTGGTGGGATGGGACAAGAAAAAATGTTTTCAAACCTTTTTGTATCCAAGTGGCAGGAAGACTTTCAGTTAGCTTTAAAATGTTTTATTTTCAGTTGAAAAAACTAAATAAATTACATATAACACATTCTAATTCCTCCACTATTTTCTTCACTCAATCCCACTTAATTGGTTTAAAATAATTTCTTGTACCATACCCGAATTGTGATTTAATAATTTTTCCAGTGGCCATCATGTACACGTACTTAGTTACCTGGCACATTTTCTAATAGACCAGTCCATCAATTTACTTATTTTAAAGAAAGAAAAATTTTGAAAATCACTTAAGGCCCTTACTGTGGCACTGGGGGATAATCTTTGTGGATGTAGCCTTTATATTTAGTATAATTGAGGTCTAAAATAATAATCTTCTATTATCTCAACAGAGCAAATTATTGAAAAAGATGAAGGTCCTTTTTATACCCATCTAGGAGCAGGTCCTAATGTGGCAGCTATTAGAGAAATCATGGAAGAAAGGTAATTAATGCAAAGGCACAGGGCAGATTACCGTTTATCCTTTTGTACATGTCAGACATTCGCAGCCTTCCCGCACACTGCAACAAGCAATTGTAAATCGAGTGATTATTAGCAGGCTCAGCTCCCTCGGGGTTGCCAACACACCACACTGCATTCACCAGAGAGTCACAATATTTGACAAAGCTAATCGTCTACTGGCTGGCATGGGCTGCCCACTTGGAGACAGATGCCAGCAAACTCAGGCACGAACAAGAATCAGCCACCAGCCTGCCAGACACAGGGTGCAAGCGGCAGTGTTAGGAGGGAAAGAGTGAGTTCACGCCCCTAGTGCTGTGAGTGGAAAGTTGCCAGGAGACAGAGCCCGTCGGTGGCTGCTTTGCCCCTGTGTCTTGTTTTGTTGCCAATCCCAGCTACGCAAGCATTTGCCTGGATGACGGCTAATTTCTGCAAGACCCCAGAAGCAAGCACAGCAGTGCAGACGGCCTTTGCTAGCGCCATCAACAGCCCTGTCACTCCAGTAGGGTGTCAGTCCATGGAGGGGACAGGCCATTAGTTTCCACGTGGGTAGCAGGAACATGCTCAGTATCATTTTCCTTCTAGTTCCAAAGTATTAACTTGTGAATTATGTAGAAACTCACTCAGTAATCACCCAACCAGGACCCTGGCAGAAGCAGTGAATTTCTGTGATTTTACTTTTATTATTAGCAAGAAATGTGTAGTGCTTGTGTCAGAAGGGGAAATAGTCTATTTTGGGAACTAGCCTATATTTTCAGAGTGGCTGGATACTAATTATTGGCTATGCCCCCTTTAAAAAATATGGCAGAATTCTTTGAAGAACAACTGGAGCAAAAACCCTTGATAATTCCTTAAGTTTTAAAACAGCTAAGTTTAGTAAAGGACAAAAATAAAATAGCACATAATTTGTAAGGCTGAATGTAGCAAACTAACCTAAATTTTGTGCTTTGTAAAATTACGTATAAAAATAAACCTTCCCATTGTTTTCACCCAACAAAGTTATAAAACAGTTCATTACAATTTTCAGTACATTTTGATACTGAAGAAAAACAAGACTATTACCCAGTTTGCTTGGCTTAGAACTTTTTTTTTTTTTTTTTTTTAAGAAAATAAACTTCCATTTTCTCAGGATGTGGTCATAGAATAAAATTGTGCTCAAATGTTCAAATATCTTGGCTGCTCGTTCAAGTCATTTGCTAATTGTGTCTCTGTGTGTTTCTGTGGGTTTTTTTTTTTTTAAGGCTTGGAGAGAAGGGCAAAGCTATTAGGATTGAAAGAGTCATCTATACTGGTAAAGAAGGCAAAAGTTCTCAGGGATGTCCTATTGCTAAATGGGTAAGTTTGGCTCAACAGTGCATTGGTCCCCAGTCCTGGGAATTTTGATTAACCCTGAGAATCTGGTCACCAGGTCACAGCTCAGGAACCACTATATTTACCATGTATTCTGTTAAGGAGGCAGATTCATTGTCAGATTATGAATGAACTGTGTTTAAGTGAAACTTTCAGTAGTGAGCTGAAGGCCCATTCTGTTATCTACCTAAAAAGTCCTTGGAATACAAAATAATAATAATAATAATAATAATAATAATCCTTTAAATGTCCGAAATATTTTTAGGAAACTCTTGAACTCAGCCCCTGCACGCCTTATCTCGCTGTAGCTTGTCTTTGAGACAGGGCCTTGCTATGTAGTTCAGGGATTCACTGTGTAGCCCAGGCTGGCCTTGAGCGAGGCACCACCACGCCCGTGTGGGTTCTGGCTTTCATGCGGGGAGTTTGCGTGGTGGATGCTGCCTGCGCAGCCCCGAGGAGTATGAATCCCTGAGTACTCTGCGTGTAGAGGCAGGAGAGGCAGTGCCAAGTGCTGCTGCATGTCACCCTTCTTTGGGCCCTGGCGTGATCAGGGGTGAAGCTGAGCTTCCCCTGCCCGCTGTGACCCGGTTTTGTCGGGTGGTGGGTGCGGGGCGGCTGGCGACCCACAGGTGATCCGCAGGAGCTCGCCGGAGGAGAAGCTGCTGTGTCTGGTGCGGAAGCGCGCAGGTCACGTGTGCTCGGCGGCCGTGATTGTGGTGCTGATCCTGCTGTGGGAGGGGATCCCTAGGAACATATCCGACCGGCTCTACGGCGACCTCAAGGAGATCCTGCGCAAGCGTGGCACACTCACCAACCGGCGCTGTGCGCTCAACGAGGAGTGAGTGACCCTGGGCATGGGTCGGGTGGGTAGTTTCGTTTTGCTTGCCACAGACTCAAGAGTGCTTCTGGCTGGCCTGATCACTCCGCAATCCTCCTAATCCTCCTGCCTTGGCCTCCTGGTGCTGGAATTCCAGGCGGGCACTTCTCTTATACATTTATAAAGTGGGGAGCGGAATGCCTGCCTTACTGTTAGCTTTAGTCAGCTTCACAACTTGCTGGCGAAAATATGAGGGGCGTGCACCAAGGAGCCATTCACACTCGGGCCGTATGACCACGAGTCCGCAGCCCAAGCATCTGTGCCCACGTGACCTCCACTGTATCTACACCGGCAAAATCTGTGTGTATCCTTGTGCCACCACCAATGTGTCCTGGTGTCTCGGACACCAGGGAAGGTTAGCCGGAAGCTTTGGGAGTCCCAGCGCAAAGAAATTTAGATCTCAGGTGCATGTGTAGGATCTGTAGAAGTTTTTTAGAAGGGACCGGCCAAATAGCTCAGCAGATTAAAGCACCGGCAAGCAGGTGCAGAGACCAGAGGTTCGATCCTCCAACCTATCATGCTGCGCCCCCCCCCCCCCCCCCGGGGGGGGGGCGTGTTGAGACTGCAAGAGAGATTGAGCATGGTGGTGTGCGCTTGTAATTCAGCTCTTGGGAGGCGAGTAAGATCTAGTAGTGAGATTCTGAACACCCTGTAGACCCTTCCCTAAAAGGTCGCTAGTCTTCCTTTCAGGCACACTGAGTCTCCCAACTAATGATCAGTTGCTTCCATTTGCATGTCTAAATAATGAGAAATTTGTGATTATGGCTAAACATTTTCTAGGAAAATGAAAATTTGAGGTAGGATGCCAAGGGTATGCAGTTAAATACAGTTAGTGCAGGCACTATTTAGGTTTTCTGTTTGTTTCTTTGTTTGTTTTTAAGGTATTTAGTACAGGGTCTCACTATGTAGATCGGGCTTGTAGTTATCCTGCTGTTTTCAGCCTCCCAAGTGCTGGGATTACAGGTGTGCACCACCATACCCAATCTGTCACTATCCCTGCGTGCCCAGGGGGCGGGGCAGGCACGGCATGCCTGGGATCCAACACTAGCCGCTGCACTCTGCCTAAGCAAGCACTTTAGTCCGCTGAAGATACCTGGCCGCCATCGTTTCTATTTTTAACTTCATCTACTTAGCATATAGCCAAGCCATGGCTTGGCAGAAGCTTCCTGTTCTATATACTACGAGTATGCTATCCCTGCCCAACCCTGACCTGCATCCCAGTTCTCCCACTTCCCTGAAATAGTAGTTATTTTGGGCAGAATTAGCTGGGAAATAATTTTTAGTTTTGCATTTTTTGTCTAACTCATCACCCAACAAACTACAAAGTACTTGGTGGAGCTTGAAGCAGTGCCCACCACGAGGGCACTGAGCAAATCTGTCCTTCTGCTCCCTTGCTGGACTGGTGGTTTCGCTAACACTGTATCAACTCATGGGCTTGGGGCCTATTCTGGGCTTGCGGCAGCAAGGCAGTGCTCACTATTCTTAAGTTGTGTTTGTAATACGGAAGTGCAAGCTGGCTTTCTGTGATCACTATGCTCATGTTTGGAGGGTGTGGGCATGACTGCCCTCTTCACAGCCCTGCGGTGATTAAGTGGAAGGTAGGAGCTGCTGGTGTGTAACACTATGACGGCTATGCTTGTTTCTGAAAAAACCATGCATAGGAGCTTTCAATTAGAAAAAGGAGTATATAGCAGCCTGAGTTCACATTGGAAATAGCCCCCCCCCCCAGGAACTCAGTAAAGCAGATGACTGCGTGATGATGGATTAACTGGCCTAAATTTATTTTTCTCTGCTGGGGAATTGAACTCAGGTCCTTATGTGTGCTAGGTAAGCATTCATCACTGAGCCACATCCTAGCCCCAAAGGGTTTTTATTTGTTTGTTTGATTTTTGCAGAGCACTATATGTTTTTAAAGTAGAATTCTTAGACTTGATGGCTTGAAATTGTAACTCACTGAGGAGGTTAATACAGAAATGACAGTTGTGGTTGTGTTTAAATTTCTTGAAGACTCACCCTGCACATCCGTTGTTCAAAAATTTTATGTATGTCTGATATTCTCCTGAAGATGTTTCTTTCATTTCCTATAATTACTTTTACTTGAATTATTATA